GATGGAGTTTATCAAGAGATGCATTTAGAGACATTATTGTGCACACAGACTTTTTATAAATCATTCCTATTAACATTTCAGAAACTTTTGTGTGTTCACATCATAAGATAATTTTACGCTTGTGTTTATAAATGAGGCCCTAGGACCTTAAATGACGTGGATATTCAGGGGACACCCCCATATTCAAAGCAGAGGTCTATGAATGTTTTTTTTTTAAAAGCTAGATTTACACAAATTGTGAATTTGGGTTATATTCTTGGTACAAACATGTTGGTTTGAAGCTCTTTTCCTGACGCTAAAGACTTGTGCTGTTACACATGTATTATAAGTTTCCATTTTGACTATTAACAAGATGTCAATGACCTAGTACACGACATACATGCATTTGTTTAAAACAGTTGTCCTGTCAAACATTATTTGTCTATTCGATGAAAATAAAACGGAATAAAAAAGGTTGTTGTCTTCTTTTCAGATTAAGTACGTCTCAAACCATCACAATTTCTTCAGCTAATCAATACAGCATTTGTGTTAAATTAATCCTGACCAGAACATTTTCAGTCAAGCTGAGATGTGCACTGAGACCGTAAAAAGACAATCATTAAAAACAAACAAGACATTAAAGATTAGAACAATTTGGACACATTGCATATAAATGTTGAGTGGCAATATATATATTTTTTAATTCTTACTGGGCATGTTTATCAGTCGAACAATTTTGTATTAAATATGATGCACCTGGAACAGATTTTTTACTGTATTGAGACATGAAAGCATCTTTCATAACTTAATCTAAAATTTAATTTGTATTCACGTGATCAAAGTGGAATGACAAAACATTAATGAAACTGTACACGATTAAACAACTCCAATAAAAGCTAATTTGAGCTTAACCTGAGAAGACCATTCATATCAGCATGTTGTTATTCTGAAATGTACTAATCAAAACTCTTCTGTGGCTGTAAATCAGGAGATAATCACATAAAAAGCATGAGGGTAAAATTCCATGAGTGCATTAAAAGGCCTCAAAGTATATTAAGTAGGCTTTTGTTGCCCCGTCTGAATCTTTAGGCGTTCACAAGTACAGTAGAATTAATGGCCTGGGAGCACAAACAGTAGGACGCCGAGGAGCTTCAATCTAGTCCACATCTCAGATATTTTGAGTTCAAGTTTTAGTTCCACTGTTGACATTTGTACACACTCTTCCATTACAATAAAATCCCAGAGCCCAAGACGGACATGAAGTCAAGTTGCTTAGTTATGCGTCTGTGCGCTAAGCATTGTTAAGTTAATGCTATTGACACCATCACAACTCTTGATTTACATTTAAGATAAGAGAAGTAAATTAGACATTACCAAGCGTTCCTCAGTGTAAAAAAATGTGTGGCCAAAAAGAGTTCTAACTGTCTTTTCAGTTGTCTTAAGAGTTTCTCAACAACTTGGTGCTGTGTCCTCATAGGTCCTCTTCACTGTCCCACAATTCCTCTGTGCGGAGGAGCCGATATGATTGTCAGGAGTCACTCTCGTTTATGACATGACTGTAGCTAGCCACGGGCTCTTTTAGACGGCATAGCACTACAAACAGCAGCAGTACCAGGAGGAAGAGAAGACATCCACACACAGCCAGCCCGATGATGACCTCTACACACATATGAGAGAGAACTATCAAAATCAAAATAACTAAAATGTATATATTTGAAAATCTATATAAGTAATATGGTTGGCCATTTTATGTATATTTTGAAAGAAATTTAAAATGGTATCTTTTGTCATATGGAAGTGCTTTAAATAATAAATTGCAGTATAAATATCAATAAATAATTCAATATTCATAATTTACAGTTTGTGTGTCCACAAAAAAAAGAGTGGTTACAAGATGTAAGCAATAAACAGCATTTATAATGTAAATGATTGTGATCACCAGTGTCTGTGGCTTCCTTCCTTATCTGACACTCTTTATTCCTGTCTTGTGGTATGACTTCACGTGTGAGGTTCACAAAGTCCTGTAGGGGACAACGCTGGGAACAGCCCGGTAAAGACACAGGGTACGGCTCAGACACATTAGTGTCATTGCGATAAAACATCTGCACTGTAAACAGCCTGAAAGAGCAAAGCAAAGGTATATTTTAGTTGACCAAAGAATGTCTACTTGAAACATGAATTTAGGAAAAACACAGTTCTCACAGTTACCCGTTCTCTTCCTGGTGAAGTTCAATTAGATGACATGAGGCATAAGGTGGCTGCAGGCCATTAAAGACATCCAGAGCTTCCTGCAGGGCTACAATTGTTGTGTCATGCTAGTGAGGAAAGGGTTACATGAGAGAACATTACATGAACTGCTTACTCTAAAGAGGACACATTTATTTTCCTTTTTTTTTTTTTAGTAGGATATTGACTGAAAAAGGGAAGTTTGGGTGTTTTGGTCTGCTGATGTTTCATTTAAGTGTGACAAGACTTACAGCTGAGTATACCATCATCTTCACTTCCTGTTTAGAGTTTGGTGCTGCTGCATTTGAGAGATTCTTAATGATCTGATCTAACAGCAGGCCTGTAAATGAGAGCAAAAGTGCAGTTTTAGCACATTAAAGTGTCGCAGGATCACAGTACTGCATTTGTGTATTCCAATTTGAATGTAGAAAGGTCCATCCATTGTTTCTTTACACTGACTTTACCCTGCACTATAATTGCACACCGTTTCAGGTTGCAGCCTCTCCCTCTATTCATACAACACTGATTTGCATGTGTGTGCATAAAAGTGTCAGTGTGTAACTATTAAAATGCTCTGTCAAGAATCCTCTCTCTTCTTTTTGAAATGTCAAAAACTACTCTCAATGTTTAACCTCATATAATGTTTTTCTCTGGGTTTTTGGTTCTTATTATTGTTTTTATTCATTTAGGTACTGCATTTGTGTATTCCAATTTGAATGTAGAAAGGTCCATCCATTGTTTCTTTACACTGACTTTACCCTGCACTATAATTGCACACCGTTTCAGGTTGCAGCCTCTCCCTCTATTCATACAACACTGATTTGCATGTGTGTGCATAAAAGTGTCAGTGTGTAACTATTAAAATGCTCTGTCAAGAATCCTCTCTCTTCTTTTTGAAATGTCAAAAACTACTCTCAATGTTTAACCTCATATAATGTTTTTCTCTGGGTTTTTGGTTCTTATTCATTTAGTTTTTTTTTTTTGCTGTTGTTGTTCTATATTACTTGGCATAATTGAGTTTATTTGAAATTAATTTAAAAAAGAAAATGCTCTCACCTCCCTGAAGTCTGCACTTCTCCTTTCTCTTGTACACTCCAAACAGAATCTGAAAACCAAAGTTCTTTAACACCTTTAGCGCCTCCATCACACTTGACGTAACCCAATCAGGTGGTCGCATCCCATGTTTTGCCTGGGGAAGAAGAATAACGATACGAGATGGAGAGAGAAGATTATCTGATCTGACACAGTTCACGGTGTCTGTCTGAGCATTAGGATTTAATTTATTCTGAGCATCATGAGATCAGTCTGGAATAAAATCAAGCAATGGTGATTCGGTTTGAGGTAAGGCCATTATTGCAAGACATTTACCACAAAGCCTCTTAATATCATGAAAGAGTCCACACAGACTAGGGAACAGTTTTACCCACAGGCCATCAAACTTGTGAACGACTGTCATGACTCCCTCCTCTGATATTGTAAATGTCCAATAACAATCGAATTAAAACAGTGATAGATATATATAAAAATATTGAAATAGTTTGAGAGTGTAGGGAGATAATTTGTAGCTCACAGTAGGTCTTTAATGATTTATAAGTTATCATTTCAAATAAATTCATCTATGGAGAAAATGAATGGAATTTGTTCTTTTGGAGCCCTAATGCTGCACTTGATAGGGAGTTAAAAAAAAGCTAGATTTGCACACACTGCCTTTATTTCAATATATAATTCATTCCTAAAGACAATACTTAGCAGGTGAGATTGATTGGCAGTTTTTAATGCTAGATGAAGCCATGAGTGCGTGCATGCATGCACATAAATGGCAGGTGAAACTCACCTCACAGAACAATGTGTCATACAAACTCCAAATAGTCTCAATGTTGGCTTTCTCCAGTCCTGTTTTATTTCTCACCATCTCTATTAAGCCCTGCAAAAAAACAATGACATTTCCATGAGTGTAGTAACCATTATGGCTGGGATGGCTAATCTACTGTTTTTTTATTTATTTATTATTTTTGCACATATACATTGCAAGATAGGATACATGCTAACATTGTAAGTTACATACTAACATGCAAGTCAATTACTAACATGAAAAAATAGGGAGCAAGATTTAAAATGGAACAGACTTGAAAAAATGGAAATCAGAATAGCACTAAAACTGTAAATACTTTGACAGAGGAGCATACGTTTTCTGCCATCTGACAAAACATTTTCACAAAATCAAAAAAAAAAAAGATTTACATTTCTTCCATTTACATGATATTTATCCAACAAAACAAGGATGTTCACTAGGTTAGAAATGTAGGGATTCAATATATTCTTAAAACAGGTCTTTACATTTTTAAATCTAAAAGGTAAGAATGTTATCAGTTTAATTATTAATTTTCATTTTCACAAGGTGGACTCACCTTGTAGGTTTCAGTCATGTTAAGAAAAATGCCTGTTTTTTCAGTCTCATTCATTAATTGTGTGTAACGTGGACAATCTTCCAGAGGGAATGAGAGCAGCTGGAAAGAAAAAAATACAAAAACACACTGAAGGCAGGTCCTGTAGCCATGGAAACAGATTTGAAACATACAGAGACATTTATTGATGCTGCTTCTGTGCAAATATGACTTCATCGCTAAAGAGAGGTCAGGGCCAAGTTTCAGTGTGCTGCGAAATTGTGGAGAGAAAGGTGAGAACAGAACTTCAGTCAGTGTGATGTCTTACCCTCTCTTCATCCGCTGGGACAGTGTGAATAGGTATTGGTTGCCATTTCAAATCTGGATTAAACACCTCAGAACCATTAGGTGGGAACATGCCAGCCAGGTTTGCTTCTGCACTCATTAGAGTCCGGTCAACATCTGTACTTCTGATGAATATCTACGGCACAAAGACAGGATTACTTATTCTATTTAAACACATAAGTCTGACAACTCTATGTTTACGTTTATTGAACATGTTTAAACAATAATTTAAAGAGACAGTAACCTCATGCCGGTCATAGTCCTCACTCAGGAATCCTGTGTAGCGTTTCTTTAAAAACTGACCCAGCTCGAAGTGCTGCTTCATTCCCTCCTGGAATGTTCAGAAGATTGAGTTAAAGTAATAAAAACACCCTCTTACTAAATCTTATAGTGAAAGAATGAAATAAAATCCTTAAAGGTGCATTCAGGTGCTAACTTAAAAAATTGGACACATTAAGAAATAAATTGTTTTCATGAAGATCCATCTGAATGTGAGATGCTGACTGATAATACTCATAATAGTTTTCTATAAAAACTGTTTTAATTATGTAAGGAGCGGTTCACCCCCTCAATGTATACATAAACACAATTTAGCACAGACACTTGCATGTTTCTACATAAACTAAAGGCTACTTAAGTAGCACATAACCAATTAAAACAAAGAGCATAAGGTATGTAGTGTATGTGTGTGTCTGCATACTGTACCTGAGAGAGCTGTCCAAAACCCTGGGGCCAGTCACTCTCCTTATAGGGATCAGTTGGATAGGCCTTGATTGGAGATCTGTCACCATGACGATAAAGCTGACGGAGAGGAAGTCAAATATCTCGTAAGTATTGGGGATTTATGTGTGCGTTCAGGAGGAAGAACTACACCGTGCAACTGTGCTTAGTTTAGCTAAACCAACTTGTCATGTGCTCATCCTGACACCCGGATAGTACACAAGCCACACAGTTGTCTGTAAACACATTCTAATCAGACTGAATCTGCTCATCCATCTCCTTATCTTTATCTCTGTCTTTCACAGAAATCAGACATGTTTAAATGTATTAAGTTTTCAGTTCTGGCTTGTGACCTTCTCTCATTTACACTAAGGTCTGTAGTAGGACTTGCCTGAATCACTTTGCAAACATTAAGTAGGTGTTCTAGGAATGCGTTCAATTATAGTCATGTTACACAATCACGCTTAAAATGACACAACCCTCTGGTTTATACTTCCTCATCTGCAGTGACCTGATCGTCATGATTTACCACAAAACACTTCTATTCACTTATTTAAACCATGTGTCAGTATTAATTATGACTACCCACAATACAAAAAAGGGTTTTGAGGTTTTTTATGTGGCACAGAGTTGAAACAAAATGTACGAACATTCATATCTTGAATATGAAACAATAACACCAGCATAAGAACAAAGTAGAATAAACACGTGGATTTATGAGCACAGATAGAAGAAAAGTTAAGCCACATCTTTAAATACTCTCATACAGCATACAAATCTGGTACGTTTATTATTGTGTATAAGCCTAAGTGATTCGAATCATAGAGTGGGATACCTAATTGGGATTTATACCATTTTTATTTCTGAATGAAAAATTTTGCATACAATATAATGAAGTTGGCACTGGCAACATATTCAAGAGAGGAATGATTTTCATAATAAGACATTTGAGAACAAAGACATGGTTTACTTTTGTGGGGCTAAAAATAAAGGAACTTAAATCACAATCAAAAAATAAATGGACAGCCGTTTCTTCTGAAATACCACAAAATGAACATGCCTCATCAAAAGCCAGGACATTTAGCAGTCTGTACATCCGAAACAAATGAACCACAATAGAATTGACTTGGACTTTAGCTTGCATCAAAGCATTTTATTGCTTTGACTGAACCGGGAGGTGCAATGAAAAAACTCAAACATGTCTCATGTGATGAACCCAAACATTGAGTAAGCTGGTAGGTTTAATACAATATCAAATAACCAAAGTTTAAGTCGAGAACAAGTTGCAGAGCTAAAAACAAAGTTGGTAGCAAACAATGGTTACTCATGTCAGCAGATATTGCCACTCACACGTCGTTACTATTTGATACGGTTTCAAACTAGACTGACATCGACAGAAGACAACCTTCGATCCTACTTATTCAATGCAAAGCATTGAGAGCCAAAAAAAATGAAAAGGAGACGCAAACATCAGTTCATATTTACACAAAAACACAGAGTTGTAATGCATAAAAATATGACCCATAACAAGAAGCCAGAATGTGCGTGTCGTTTTATGAACGGTTTTGTCAAACCAGCAGCAGACAGATTATACATTATAGTACTCACCACAGTGACAAACTTCAGCGTCCTCTCTCCATCGGAAAGACTGAAAGCGACGAGGAAAGCGACGATCAGAAAACAGGACTCCATACTTGTGGACGAGCAGCGGAGGCAGAGCACAGTAACCTCATTGATCGATCGCGGTCTGGCTGGTCTTGCAAGTTGTTCCGGGAGCGCTCCCATTGGTCAACGCAGTCTGCCGCTTTAAAAACACGTGAATTGATTGGCTATCTTGGAACAGAGAAGGACTCGGGGAATAAATAGTTTGTCTTTGTTGGGTGGCGTATGATGAGTTAACAGTGAAATGCAAATGTCAGTTAAAATGAAAATCCAGTCTCTTGTTATATTTTTATTCAATATTCATAAGTTATTGCTTAACCTGATATCCAGGCCTCAAATAAGGTGCATTGGTGTATTAATATTGATTCGTATATTAATACGCCTAGTATATGTTCACAATTATTTTATTTTGTATTTTCATATAGGTATTTTAAAATACTATGTTCATTTCCATAATTTTTGTTATTTATGCACATGGCTTAATTAATTAAATTGACCCGTTCGCGGGTGAACGATGTCTTCGGTAGTTGATTACGAAGGATCTGTGTTCCACTGGCTTTGTCTGTAACGTTACGCTTTTTGGCAGGAGGTGTTGAGCACAGCAACAATTCTAAAGTACACTCGACCCTCTTTTCGGGAGTAAACAAAATATTCCTCACTGTATTTATATAAACCCGAAAATAAAACCAGCACTTAATATTTAAGTAAGGGTCCTGCTGCTGAGGTGTCCCAACGTACTTATTTTACTTGATAGCTACGATTTCAAGGAGTATATTCGGACAAAAATATGAGGTAGGCCGAATCTGAGACCCCGTGTGGTTGTCTTTAATATATTTTAAACAAAAAACACTAATAATTTAAACACCATGTAACTGTGAATACATCAGCCGTAAACTGTAGCATGCTAACTGCTAATGGGAAAGCTGTTAGCGAAATTTCCTAATTCAAAAACAAACATTTTAAATGATATATAACTTTAACTGGTGCCTTTATTCTGTGACCATGCAGTTAAATTACTTAGTGTTTATAGCACTTTTATATCCCCTGTCTAGCTTTATTAGCGGAAGATAACAGCTGAAGTCAAACATGTAAGTTAGTAGCCTGTCAGCTGGAGAATAGCTCAAGTTAAGAGTGTCACAACACAAGACATGTAAAGCTGATTCAGGTTTCTTCAGCCTGTTAGCTTGATGCATAATGTAAATAACGTGTATAATTATTGTCTTTCTACCAGCTACACTGATATTTAATTATGTATAAAACCCATTTAATTAAATCTATTTATTATAATGCTATTTTGGCCTTTCATTGGTTGTTTGCTGAAATATATCTTGTCTTATATATATATATATGTTATCGGATTTCCCACCTGTGTTATTTTAGTATCATATTATAGTTTTTATTCATATTTTGTACATAATTCCTATATATTTTCTATATAGTTCTTATTCATTTTTATTTTAGTTTTAATCAGTTTAGTACATTAAGTTAAACTAAATGAAAATGTTAAGTGAAATGTTGGCAACTAGTTGTTGTTGTTAATGATGTTTTAGTTAACTAAACCCTGCAATAAAGTTTCTATTTTTCTGTGTAAGATATTAAATATAGTAATTCTGCCATTGCACATGTGTATTCGTAATCTTTGTAACAATGCTCGATTGTAAAAAATGTTCTTTTACACCTTGTAATCTCCTTTGACACCTTTAGAGGCAGTTTGAGGTGCGATACAATGCTGGAAGATTTTACATTGAATTGAAATTACCAAGAAATTGTCTCATTGTCATCAGATTAATATTGAGTTGTAGCCAAGTTATGATATTCGTGAACTTTGTTGGCCCTTTTTTATTTTTATGATGATTTGTTGATTTCTTTTTCTCTGCCCCCAGAATGATGGCGTGGCAGTAGCAGTGGTGGTCTAGCTGTGTGTGAGCCGGTGGACGGCTCTGAGTCTGGTGTGAGAGGGACGGAGCGAGGAAGAGTTTGTGGAGATGAAGGTGGGACAGAAGAACTCGGTGTGTATCCTGTCCAGTCGAGAGCGAGGAGCACGAGGCCTTTCCTCACACAGGATCCTGCAGCAGCTTGTGGAGGAGAAGACACAGCGCATGAAATGGCAAAGCCAGGTAACAGACTCACTGATCTCTGTCATCTGTTGACTTGTAGCCTGTTGTGTGGGAAATAATCAATATTATTAAGACAACCTTATTTTATTTGTTTTGCCAACTGTGGAGCTTTAGGATTTATGTACTATTTGAGGTTCTAAATAAATAGCTTTATAGCCATGTACATTTCTTCTTTCATAATTATTGTCAAAAATGGACTTGGAAAAAGTACACACTCGGCCCAGCACCCGTAAAGGGCCATTCACAACAAGAACGATAACTATACGAATAACTAGCATCCAGCCATCTACTATTCCACATCTATTCTGATCGGCTGTCAATGTTTATAACCTTCATCGGCTGTAAATTCTCAAAGTGATTCCAACAATATAATTCCTCCATGTCATTATCATTATAGATGTAGCATGGACTTCACTATTCTCATAGAATTAGAATGATTAATAACACTTAATAGTTACTGTATATCTATCGCAATAGTTTTCGTCCTGGTTGTGAACAGGCCTTAATATTGTGGTTTGGAAGTGACTGAGGTAAAATCACTGCTCCTTTTTTATTTTCTTTCGGTGTCACAGAAAGTGGAGTTACCAGACAGCCCCCGCTCAACCTTTCTTCTGGCCTTCAGTCCTGATAGGTACGACCACTCTGACTTCTTTCTCATAGTCTTCAGTACAGATCTGCTAAATAAACTGACTGGCTGATCTCAGGCTTTTCCAGTTAAGGCCTATCATCAACAAGATCATCAGAGAGGTGTTTTTGCTATTTGTCTCTTCACAGGTCTTTAATGGCCTCGACCCATGTGAACCACAACATCTACATCACAGAGGTTAAGACAGGAAAGTGTGTTCACTCTCTAGTGGGTCACCGCCGGACACCCTGGTGCCTGACCTTTCACCCTAGCATCCCTGGTCTTATTGCTTCTGGCTGCCTGGATGGAGAGGTTCGAATCTGGGACCTGCATGTAAGTCTTGACCATACACGTATTTAAAGATTGTTTGGTCAACTTGTAATCGTTCTACTCTTTGCTTTAATATGTTTTTGTTTTTGTTTTCGGGTGTTGTTTTGTTGCCACAGCTTAATTTTGCTCAAAAGAATTGTGTGTTTTTGTTTCAGGGAGGCAGTGAGAGCTGGCTCACAGAGAGTAACTCAGCAATTGCATCCCTTGCTTTCCATCCTACTGCTCAGCTGCTGCTCATTGCCAGCCACAATGAGCTGCATCTATGGGACTGGAGTCGGAAGGAGCCCTTTACTGTGGTGAAGACTGCTAGCGAGACAGAGAGAGTCAGGTTTGATGTGCTTACTTTTTATAAATTTAAAGGGATAGTTCACACAAAAATGAAAATTGTCATCAACAACACACCCAAAGCCTTTGTTGTTAAAAAACCCATAAGAACCATAAAAGACTAATAAACATGTTTCTAACGAAACATGAGAGATTTCTGTCCTTCCACGGAAAGTCTATTCACCTTTCAACTTTGGTACTTTAAAAAGTTTGTGAAAGAAATCTTAATTAAGCGGTTTACTCCATCTTCTGAAGATACACAATTGTTTAATATGATGAACAGATTTAATTTAAGCTTTTATTCGCATATAAACATTGATTAATGCACATAGAGCTCATTCAATATGCTAAGAAGATTCTCAAATGGTCTTGCTTGACGAGCAAAAAATGATTGGGTTTAAAACATGCGGGTGAGTAATTGTTGACTGATTTTTAATTTTTGGGTGAACGATTCCTTACTTTTTTGTGTGTTTTTTGTAGGTTGGTGAGATTTGATCCATTGGGTCACTATATTCTAACTGCCATTGTAAACCCTTCAAACCAACAGGTGAGTCTTGCTGGAAAGTTTGTTGTTTAAGCACAAGACATTTCTATTCTCTAAAATTTGTGACTATACATATGCTTGCATTTGTGCATTGCAGAATGATGATGATCCTGAGATTCCAATGGACAGTGTGGAGATGCCTCATCTCCGTCAGCGCTCTTTCCTCCAGTCCCAGCCTGTAAGACGAACACCCATCTTGCACAATTTTTTGCACATACTCACTTCCCGCAACTCCGTCCCTCAGTCTGGAGGCACTCTTGCTGCTTCTAGTGATGAGGCCTCTGATTCGTCTGGGCGTTACACTGTTTTGAGGGATCGATCCCGACTGCCATACCATGGTTGCGTTCAGTCACTCGGAGTAGTGTGTTTCTGTAGCCGTTGCTCATCAACACGGGTTTCGTCTCCACCTGACGAGGACCCTTCCGACTCCGCCTCCTTGGAGGGACAATCACATGCATCTACCTTTTCTTCTGCACGAACAGAGCCGCGAATACCAAGGTTTCCTGTTGAATCTCATGCTTCAAATCGGCCCTCAGCATTTAGCTGCGTGTATGGTGGCGGGAGCAACGTGCGGAACATTTCTTCTAGCTCTGGGAGGAGGGGAGTGGCTGGAATGACACCCATCCCACCTTTCCGGCAGCAACCACCAGGCAGGGAAGATGGAGGCCGTCTCCCTGGGCCAGACTGGATAGGCTGTGTGCTTAATGGACGAGGTAGTAGTATGACTCCACCCAGAACCAGCGCTTCCTCTGTCAGCCTGCATTCTGTCCTGCGACAGCAAGGGACTTTTAGCCAGTCACCTGTTTACACCTCAGCTAGTGATGGATTGGACCTTTCTCATAGCAGCGGCAGCACATCAGGGACTAGTTCTAGCAGGCAGCACCCACCAGAGGAAGCGGGGCACAGCAGCCCTTCTTTCATCCGCAATGTTCTTCAGTGTAACCTTAACCGCTATTTCATGGAGTGTGAGCGAATGCAGGACCTGGTGCAGCCTCTAGAGGGCAACAGGCAGGACCAGCAGACTCAGGAAATGCTGAATAACAACATGGACCCAGAGCAACCAGGTCCATCTCATTACCAGCCACTTTCCAGTGACGAAAACCCTTCACACAGTCACATGAACCGCTGTAGAGTCTGCCACAACCTTTTCACCTACAATCAGGGTACTAGGCGCTGGGAGAGAACAGGTCAGCCGACATCTGCTGAGAGAAATGCAGCTTGGCAACCTACTAGTCCTGCCCTCCACAGTGTAGCCCCAGTCTCTCACTCTGATCATGACCTACTGGAACACAGACCCATGGAGCCCAGCCCAGATGCCCCAGAGCCTCATGTTCCCTTTTCCCGCAGCACAGCAACTGGTCAGCAGGAGGAGCAGACTATTGGGCTGGTCTTCAACCAGGAAACTGGACAACTAGAGCATGTTTACAGGCAGTCCGCCACCTCTCGCTCAACAAATGTATCACAAGAAGCCATAAACCAGGAAATGCCTGAAGACACACCAGATGACGATTACTTACGCAGGTGAGGCAGCAGTCTTGTTTGAATGTTTAAAGGGGTCATGTCATGAGGAATCAAACTTTCTTATTTGTTTGATATTGAAAGTTTTCATTGTACTAGAAAACATACCAAGTTTCCTCACCAGTCCAAAAAGATTATTTATTGAAATTAAGATGCACTAATGACTAATTTTCGCAACTTATTGATATTAGATGTTGGCTCATGGCCATCTACATTTAAATGACAGCAGTGCCGATTGATGTTTAGAAACAGTGAGGTAAATAGGAGGAAATAGGGCTCATCTAAAAGAATTATTGGGATCAGTGGTTCAGACTTATACTTGCCAAAGTTTTCACTGACCCCACTGCAAAAAAACAATTCTCTTTTGGCCTTATATACTCAACCGTTCAATAATGACTGACAGCACAGACATTTACAATATTACAAAAGATTTTTATAAAATCTTCAAATTATGTTCATTTCAACTTTCTATTAATCAAAGAATCCTGACAAAATGTATCTCCGTTTCCAAGAAAATATTAAGGAGCACAATGTTTTTAACATTGATAATAAAAAATGTTTCTTGAGCACCAAATCTGCATATTACTATGATTTCTGAAGGATCATGTGACACTGAAGAAGACTAAATAAATTACACTTAAAATATTTTTAGAGCATTTGAATGCCTTACAAACTTAAACATACTTGGTTTTCTGTGATGTACTGAACTATTGTAGACTCTGTATCTAAATATCAACTAATATAGAGTGGGTTGTAAGAGATCCCAGGCGTGACAGTTCCTTCCCGAAACACTTGGACGCAGGCCCTAGGTCAGCCGGCCAACCTTATTATTGAGCCCAATTATATTACAATTTGTAAAAGGCAAATAATGATTAGAGTTAAATGTGTGAAAGTTTGTCGAACTGTGTTATTACTGGCTGCGTGTAGAATAGGAAAGGTTTGTGCAACTGATTGCAGTGTAGATTGTTTTGTAATCCAGTCACAATATAATGCAGGTTTGGCAAAGATGCTGTTTTTCAGTGCAAACTGTATTTGACCTGACAGCATACTCGGAAGTCTGCGTGTGAGTGTAGCAAAGCACTGTTACTCATTTCACATGTGAAGGGACTGTTTTTTTAAGGCACAAATGCTGAAAATGGTTCGCATATGAAATGAGAAGGGTTGGGAGGGTTACTTTTAAAATGTATTCCATTACAGTTACAAATTACTTCATTAAAAAAGTATTCAGTAACGTAATCCATGTACCACAATATAAAAGTAATGTAATCTGATTACTTTTGGATTACTTCAAGTTACATATGTAATTAAGTCATAAGTAATAGTTAAGCCTGCATTTCAGCCTGGGCCCGACTTTTTTATGCCCCTAGGGCCGGGCTTCGGGCCAATTTTCATATCATAGTTCAGACGTGGGCCGGGCCTCGGGACTGTTTTAGGCTTCTCCTTATTTTTATATTTTAGACATCCATCAATTAGTGATGAAATTTTTTTTTGCCGCGCTGGTGGAAACAACACGAGACCGTGCTACTGCGACTGTCAACAACGGCTCGACGGTGTTTAGTGTCCCGCAGCAGAGCGAGCGTGCCGTCAGTGCAGCTGAAGAGATCTGCGTTCAAATGCACACAATAGGCTAAAGCTTGCCGCAAAGCACCGGCAAAAGTTATTACCATGAATGTGTCGGGGAAATAGTAAGGAGATATTTGAGTTATTTACTAATAAACTAGTGTTTTCTGAGTCTTTCGGTGTCGCAAGAATGAAGTTGTCGATCCTGACTCGCCATCTCCACATTAGACGCGCCTTTAGAGAGAAGTGCATCTTTACGGATTATGATTATAATGAAAGAGTTTTTGTTTTCGATTTGTTTTATTACGTTAAGTGTTAAATATTTATCATGTCTGTGAGGCATCTATTCGCTTAGTTTCGGTTCATTTTTGAGAAGCGCGCCTGTTCAAGACGATGCAGAAAGCGGATCGTGTTTGTTTTCTTTATTTTATGAAAGCAAGTTTTGTTGATATTGTGAGTGCACACAAATAAAAGTAGACCCTTCACAGTTCTGAATGATGTATTAGGCTACTCTTACCTTTATGAGCAAAAATGATGGCGTATCCACTTAAAAAAATGCGCCTCCATGTCCTGCAAAGCGTGCTTTAGCTTCCACTTTCCGCACAAACTATTGGATATAGCGCACATTTATCTAGATTTAATGTTTAAACATTGTTATACAACCCTCTACATTGCGAGTAAAAAGAATATGCATTCATACATGGTTATCAAGTTTTAATTCTAATTCCTAAAGTTCTAACATATAATAATATTGATTATCATATTATAATGCTTAACTGACCGATGTTAAGAGTGTACTTTCAGATATTTAAAAAACTGGCATTTTACAAACATTATATATATACTAATCAACATTTGAAGTGGATCAAAACCTTTCATCAAAGTTGTCCTAAAACCAAAATGCATTCTTGTCTTAGGACAACGTTGATTAACTTTTTTTGATCCACTTCAAATGTTGACTACTATATATATGTGTGTATATATATATATATATATATATATATATATATATATATATATATATATATATAGAGTCTCTCTGTCTCTCA